GGGGCTGCAAGGTGAAATCAATCCATCAAACTGATGAAAATTGCGATCTTTATGTCGTAAAATAGCACTTACACCTTAGTCAAGAATCTTTGCTGCCTCATATAAAGGCAACTAGTATAAGCAAAATGTTGATGGTAAGTAATCATTTTTGAGTTTAATTTTGCTCTGTGGTGACGAAACCGTCAGCTGTACAACATGTGCAGGCTACCACTTTATTAACAATAGATGACAAAGGTAGCCGAGACACTTCGAAAACAACACTGCGATATTTAACCTCTTATTCTGTGTATTTGACATCATGTAGTGATAATTCTTTGATACCTCTGGCCCCCAATTCAACGTTGTGTAGCTGCTGTAGTCTGCACCGTCTTAAAAATTGAATAATAACTACTTATTAAACGAGAGTGAGGTCTTTACGGGAAAATGTCAAACCAAGACTAATATGGCAAGGCCAAGGTTTGAGATTTTCCCCTAAAGACCGAACGCTGGAGGTTAATAAGTTGTTTATTACATGGCTTTTGCTTTGTTTTTGTAGGCCCATAATCGGCCCGTGGGCATTACTGGAGAATCATGCCCTAGAATAAGTCAATCAGAGTACACGTTATATCGGCTACAAACACAAGCCATAAAATAAATTGTTCTCATGATGAATCATAACTCAAGTATTTTGGGTAATTTGTTTACACTCACCGCTCCATTTTTGTCCATAGTTTCCAAACACCCCTGAACCACCTGACGTTGAGTAAGAAGGTGTGTAATTTGGCTTCTTTTGAACTTTAGGTGACCCACCAGGTTTAGCCCCAGACTGCCAAGAGGGTTGCTGAGCTGGGCGAGACCAAGAAGGATTGGCACTAATACTAGGCCCAGGCTTCTTCTGGGCTTGGTGTGAAGTAGGTGTAGCTGTTGTTGAAGCCTTTGGTAAACTGGACTTCAAATTTCCAAAGTCAGAGAAAGGATCAGTTGGTGCGGCCTTAACTTTGTTCTGTGACGCAGGACCGTTTGGCTTTCTTGGGGGAGTGGGTGAGGGGACTCTAGCTGGTTGAAGTGTTGCAGCTGAAGAGTTGCCCCAGTCCCCAAATAAGTCAGTGTTACTCTTTTTCTGGGCCTGGGATGTTGTGCTAGGAACCTGGGAAGTGGTAATTCCAAAAAGGTCATTGCTTGCCTCTGAGGAACTTGTTCCAAATGGATCAAATGTGGCCAAGTTTGTTCCACTGCCTTTACAACCAAATGGCTGAAATGTCTCTGTGCTGCCACTCCCCTGAGCTGATTTACCACCAAAAGGATCAAACGTTTCAGTTTTACTGTCAACTGGCTTGCCAGCGAAGAGATCAAATTCATTAGATGGCTTCTCGCTAGGACTCTTAGAGCTAAAGGGGTCAAATAAGTCAGGGGAAGCAGGTTTATTGGCACTTCCCCCAAGAGAGTCTACACCAGTGACTGTGAAGGAAGTCACATTCTCCCTGCTCGAACTTGAACTTCGACTTCCCATCTGATTGAAAAACTCTTCATCTTCATGAAACCCTGGACTTAGCACATCATCAGCACTCTTATTTCGTTTCATTGTTCGGTGAGGGCTTTTTTCTGTCCCACTGAACAGGTCCACATTTTGACTGTCCCTACTCCCACCGCGTGATAAATTGAGCAGGTCGACTCCCATATCATCGACCACTGCTATATTAGAAGTGGGCTCTGTACCCACACCTTGGGTTCCTAAGTTGAGCAGGTCAACATTGTTAGAGGAATAATCACCAGAGACTGGTTCATCCGAATCAGAATCATCCTCCAAATTAAACAGATGGCCATTAGGATCACCATCAGACTTGAAATTAAACAAGTCTTCACTGAATTCACCATTTGACGGTGATTTCAAATTAAACAAATCTAAATCCTCCTCCACATTGTTCCCAACACCTTCTCTCTCAGAGAAGAAATCATGAGTCTGGGATGTCGATTTTGCAGCATTAGTACGATCCTTATTGCGCAGGTTCTCAAAGTCATCATCACTGTCATCAATGGAATCTTCATGATACACTGCTGGTTTGACATCACCTTCCTGCCAGTTAATTGCTGAAAGAAAGTTTTTGTTTGGTTTACTGGCTGTTCCTCCATCTGAGTTGTCAGACTCTGCAGTCTCAGCTGGAACCTGAAGTACTTCATTTTCACCATCCTCTTCTACTTCGTTTGATTTGATGTTGAACACCATGTTTGATTCCCGATCGTCTGCATTCACTGTGAAAAACAAACATGCGAAAGTTGAATAAGTAGATAGAACAGAGAGATGAAAGTGTGGTTACCTTGGGGGGATGTGGTTTAAAATTTCTTTTCACCCCCAAGAGGTACCAATTCTAAAACAACACATTATCTCCTGTCTCCTATTTTTTTCAGCTCAATACCATAAAAGGTACCGCAGGCTGAACACTCTAGGGTGTAGCAAAACTGCTTTTTCAACCCCTAACCCTGTCCTTTTTACATGGGAGTCCCCTCACCCCCCCAGGTGGTTACATGATACTGTAGTTCCAAGTAGAAAGGTCTCTGAAGAGTCCCTTGGCCAGGATGAAATGAAAGCGCTGCGTAAGACTAGGCACGAACAATGTATTATCACAAGTAACTGTCAACTTTATTGTCAATTATCTAATGGCATCAGATAAAAAATGACAAAGTTTTAATAATAATTATCTATACTCACCAAATTCTTCCTGACATTCCAGATACTCTTCTTTAGTAGAAAAGCAAACTTGTGGAAAGAGTTTCTCCACCTTGAGTGTGTCCCATGTGTGAGTGGCATTGTTGACTTCCTCAGCGTCAACACTGATATCCAGTGTTACATTAAACCGTGTAGTGAACTTACTTTCATCATCTTTATTGATATCCAACTCATCTCTACAGAAAAACAAAAGAAACAACAATAATGACAGATTCATGAGCTAATCTAATTTAGTTAATTATCTCTTGCTCCTTAAAAGCCCCAAAGAGGAGATTCAATAAAGTATGCAAATAGAGTGGGACCCTGCCCTGTTAATATGGCCACCTCAATATTATGGCCACTTTATTCTGGTCTAAACAAAATTTCAGTCAGTCAGTCATGGCCCGTTGGTGACCAGCTTAACGGGTTTCCACTGTATGTACATAAGTATGATGATAATAATAATAATAACAACAACAACAACAACAACAACAACAACAGTATATATTGGTATCTGTTGGACATGGCAGCAGGGGTTGCAATACCAAATCCTGATATAATAGGAAATATCCTCCTTCCATAGCCAGTCTGAAGTTTAGAATTTTAGACACTGTATCATTATAAAAGTCATATATGTATGTGTGAGCACTCAAACTACATATCCTAGATGTAATTCACTGATGGCCCTACCGTGAGTACTTGAGTTTCTGTGCTGATGTCTTGATGAATCCGGTGTGAAACTGTAACATGAACACTCTCATGGAAGTCATTTTTCCTTGAACCTTCCCTCCCAGGGTAGATCGGCCATGATACACCACAATTGTCACATCACCTTGTAAAGTCAGATTCACAGGAAACGACACCTTACCATCACCTAAAGTGTACTCCCTTAAAAAAGAACAGAACAACATAGCTTTGTAATACAGTAAAGAAACAAATTAGCAACATAGTGTTATCTTGAACTAAGGGGTAGACCAATAGTAACCTTTATTAATTTTGTTTAGTCACTGTATTAGTTGGTTTAATTTTTAAACATCTCACCTCATCTTTTCAATCTCTTTAACTGTTGTAAGAACTCTCTGCTCTCCATGGTATACCTCAATAAATGGACGACAACCGTTCCTGAAGTAGACAAGAAAATAGTATTTAATACATGAAAGGCTCACAGTTATGTATGCAAGTTAAATATTTGCAAAAATGAAGCCCTGGAAAAAATCAGGTCTAAACAAGATTTGAATACATGGGAAATGTTCTTGTTATTAGGTATAGACTAAAAGGATTTCTAATAACTGCCACAGAACCAGAAAAAGTAATCATAAAAGTGTAGGTATTGTTAACGTTGCTGAAGCGATGAGTGGCAGTTTCTGTCACATGAAGCAGCTACTGTAGGTATATTGAGCTCTATTCCCCCCTCCCACACCCCCACTGGAGGATGCTAGCCTCCAGTCTTCCCAGACAATTGTCCAGTCTTCTCAGACAATTTAACAGTGCACATTTACGCTCCTGGGCCGGGTTGTTTGAAAGCTGGTTAACACTAATCCAGGATTTAAAGTTCACCAAGTAACAATTTTTCTTCTGCAGAAATGTTTTTCACTGCTTATGTTTTGTGTACTTCGAGATTACTCAAGCTCAAAAATGAAGTACAAACAATGTAAACAGAAGACCTCACCGAAAATACACAAAAATGAAATCAAAATTCTTGCTATTCCTGGTTTAACTTAATTGGGCTTTGAACAACCCGGCCCTGGATGGAGGGAAGCACTGCAAGAGCAATGTGTCTTTTATAAGAATACATGTACAGTACACAAGGGCCAAGCAAGAAACAGCTAGGATCTGTTATCAACAGTCCAGCACACTCACCATAAGGCAGCCAGTCCTTCCCTTAACTAAAACAGAATCCGTAAAAATACATGATATACAGAAACATTACTCTCAAGACTAAGCTAGAGACCATTTGAAATGTACCTTGCTTTATTGAAGGCTGGAACTGGGTGCACTGTAACAGACTTGATATAGACTGAATACTTGTGAGGTTTCAACTCCTGGTTATTGATCAGTTGCGTGACATACAGTAGATAACTAAACAAACAAAAAGGATATACACTGTGGTTATGGTCATTCAAAGGTGGAGTTTATAATGTGTCCCAATTAATTAATAGATCACAAAATTATTGGAATCAATGCATATACCGGTAATAACATTACAATGTTAATATCACTGACTACAAAATTTGTTCACAGGACACCACAATGTCAAAACTGACTAACATAAACTTTCTTTCTACAAATTTAAAACAAACAAATACACAATCATGCAGACAGAGGGAAAGAATAACAAACATCATTACAGTCCACGTTAAGCCTGATAAGCTTTGACTGCTAAGTCAAGAGAATGATAGATAACTTACCGTTCTTGTGAAGCAGTTAGGGNGACCTAAACTATACTATCCTATGTACATACCCTGTCACCAAGTTTCTCTGTTCTGTATGTTCTCGGTGATACATTGACTACTAAGTAGTTCTCAGCATATTTTGCTTCCAAGAAATCCCGCACATCATCTATGTTGTTCTTATAAGCTGACTCGATTCCATCTGCTGGGAAAGACATCACTGAAAAAAAGAACGAAAACCATGAAAATGTGATCACCGAAACAGAGTAATGACAAGAAAAACAAACTGTGCTGAAAATCTCTTAAACATACCCATGATTTTGGATGTAATGTATGACAAGTCCAAGTCATTTTTGACATACCTAGGAGAGGAAGGATTCAGTTAGAAATATACTTTGTACTGAAAATGGAGATATTTAAAAAGCAAAAATTTGAAAATAATTATCACTCCTGCCACATTCTGAATCAAAGTTAGGACTACACCTCCTTATACATGTAATAATTACATTCTTGAACACAACAGTTGAGAACACTGTCTTCATGGTCAGTTCTACTTGATACGAATTTAAGAACGATTTTGGAGACCCCCACAAATCCTTAAAATCAATGTGGTTTCACTCGCCTTGAAAACCATTCCCTTACAATTACCGGTAATGCTACACCAACATAGACATTATTGTCATTGAAGATATTTTATGTCCCAGAATGTGCCATCTGCTCTTGTTTTGTACATATTATGTCTTACCCTGCCACTGATTGCATAACTTTGTTGGACATGTCTTTGATGTTGCTAAAAAGGCTGTTAGCACCTTTCACAACTCCACCAAGTAAGGCAGAATTTCCAGATGACGATGGTGCAGGAGGGGAACTGGTACTTCCTGAAAGGTGGTAAAAATTTGCTAAACACTAAAAAGAACTTACACTAGTCATTCAAAAGATAGATAATACATCAGATAAGTCACTATCCAGTATATGGCACTCATACAGTGTAATCTGTCAAATACTTTTATTTGCTCACATGCGATTGGTCTAAATGTGTTACGTGGCTGAAGTTCAATATGCCCTAGCCAAAACTGGGAGACATCTGATTAATATCCCCCAATTTTCAAAACTGCATGCACTGCATAAAATATTTGAAAGATAGTAAAAACAATAGCCTCCATTTGGCATGAAAATGTGCTTGAATATTTCTCCTTGGACATTATCTGTTTCTTAAAGCTAACAGTTTTCCTTGCGTTAAGCTCTCAGAAAACTGTTTGCTTCTCAGAACAGATAATGTCTGTGGACAATTATCCAAGCATATTTTTGTGCCAAATACATGTATTTATCCACTGGGTAGTGATTTATCCAGTGGAAAGTGCTCTCCATTCTTTGACCAACTGGGCCCAGCTGATGACAGACACCTCCTCCTCCACCTCCACTATGGCTACAACCCTTAATCATTCCCAGCGTAAACCATCTTAATCTTCCTTCTTTCTACTACATTATTACATGTAACTCTTTGCTGTTTTTTACACACCTTAACACAGTATGTTTTTAAATTTCCTTTAGATTTGAAGTAATTAAGTTAATATGTGAATAGAATGATTCCAAAAACCATAAAATTAAATAACTCACAGGGGATGGATCCCTCTAGGAAAATATTGGAATGTTTTCTCACACAATGAGTTCTCTTAATAAATAATTCTCCCTTTGAGAAACATTATTTGTAATACCATAACAGGTGCTTGTCCCAATGACTATCAAGTTTAATGAGTCATATGATCATGGGGATGAATTAAAGCACTTGTACCAACCTTGAGGGGATCTTTCACCTGAAGCTGGAGGCATGTCATCTTTCTGTAAAATAATGCAATTTTAAATCACAGGTAAGTTAACAACAGGAAGAACATAAGTCAGTGTGTATAGCACTAGTGTATGTACAGTAGTGGCAAAAATTTAGACACAATAAAAGTAACAGCAGAGCTGATGTGTTCCTTACATGAGAAATACATAAATAATCTGCAATTCTAGCTACCAGTGATCAATAGCAGGGAGCTGTGTGCTGGTGTGTGTATTGATCAACAAAATCAGTTTGATGGCTCTTACTAGTAGTCACAGATTTATTATAAATGTTGCCTTCTGGGTGTCATCTGCGCAAGGTGCAAGGTCACTGTTAATGCATGGGGGGGGGGGGCACTGTTAGGTCCTGGGTGGGCTAATGGCTGGGTTGTGGGGGGGAGGCATGTCACCTAAAAGAGAAGTATTCTCTAGGGGAGAGAGGGGGAGAGGTGGGAACTTGTTGATTAGTAGTGAAGCCTCTAGATTTCCTAATTACACAGCTTCTTTTCTGCAATGTAGTTGTTATCTCCTCTCTCCAAAATAGCCCCAACAATTCTTGCATACATTCTTGTGACAGGCCAACTTATCACTAGTCTCACAGAAAACTTTTTTGAAATGAATACAGAAGGGGCAGATCACACCTGCGTGTCCATATTATGAAATGTCTGTATTACAAAGTTAGAGATTATATGAACTCTGCTTCCTCAGCAGCAAGTGAATTGTCTGTTATATAGAAGGGTACCCTGTGTTATTAAGGTATATACAAGGCCAGGGTTGAATTTATAACTTACCACTTTTCCCTTGAGATCAACATCCATGGCAATAGCAATGGCTTCAAGCCCTGTTAGCACTTCTTTTATATCTGGTCTATTAACAGGGTTCACTTGAAGCATATATCCTATGTGAATAGCAAAACAGAATCAATTGGCAATTTGTCAGAATGCTATTTAATTGTAGATGACCCATACCATCATTTTCCAGAGGAAATTTCCATATTGTTGCTTCTAAATGTTATGGAAACTGGAGGTAAGCACAAGTGTTGATGAATGAAAGGCTCCTCCAAACTCTACAACTGGGAAAGACTAATAAACTAGAGCTCTGTAAATTAATTTTGCCTCAATGGTTGTCCCAACAACTATCTGGTACTATAAATATTTGGTTTGATTAATAATTGCAGACTGCTTGAAACATGATCTGTGAAACAGCATTCACAAAAATTGTTTTATGTAAATTTTTAGATAGAGTTTACTCACTGATAAGATCATGGAAAACTGTGTACTTGGTGTCACTTTCAGGGATTGTGTACTTCGCATTAAGAATTCTCAACTTAGCAGAGTCTTCAAAGGGGTGTTCCATAAAACACAGAAAAAACAGAATACAGCCAAGGGCCTAGAAGACAGAAAATATTTAATCACAATATTATATAATATCATATAATATCTACATTTAACATGAAGGGTTTTGAGGTCAAAGGAGTGAGTATTGCCAACTTCTTTACTTTCGCTACAATTTAAAGAAATTAAACTATAACTAAATTTTGAGGAAAAGCACTCGAGAAATGATCAACACCCATTCCAAATACATGTAGTGTTGATAAAGCATGGACATTTTTGCAAAACAAAGTATTGAACTGATTCCTACATAATTGAGAAAACATTTTCTGAATGCTTTTGTTAACTTACCCAGATGTCAACTTTTTCAGTGACTGGCATGTTACTGTACAAGTCAACCATTTCTGGTGCACGATACATTGGGGTTGTGTTCCGCTGGAGCTAAACGTACAGTCACATGAAAAAGAGAAAATTCAGCATAGTTATACTACATTGTATTAAATTAATTGTTGATAGAAACACCATGTCACCAAGGCCTAGGGGGATAAAGGGGTGCTGAATGGTAAATGCAAGAATTTGTGAGAAGGCGAGACTAGCATTTTCCTTTGCAAGCCCAAGACATTTTCACTGTTTCAATTATGAGACTGNGCCCTCCCCTCATACTTTTCTTAATACAGATAAGCCCCCTTGCTTGCCATGATAGTATGCCTTCCACCACCCATATTCATCGTCTCTTTTCGTGGAGAAGTGTTATTAAAAACAAATAAAAATGGTCTCCAAAGCAATGTTTTTATATGTTCTTTTAGTAGCTGATTTATGGTTCAAAGTGATTCTTTCCTCACTCTTATAAACACCACTCCCTAACCACTTACGAGGTATTAAAAAAAACAAATCTCCCTGGGTGTTTCTAGGGTACATTTACTTCTACATACACATTAGGTAACTTGATAATCCAACTGTTTTGCTGTGCTCACCTTCAAATCTCTGTGTATAACTGGTGGAGTCTGCTTGTGCATGTGAGCAACAGCACGGCAAGTTTGATAGAACATCTTTAGTACCTGTTGAGGTGGGTACGGCTGACCAAANACATATCATTTTGCTACAATGTATCCAAAAGTGCAACATGTCATATAAATATACCTCATCCTCAACAAGACTTCGTTGAAGCGCTGTCCAGGACTCGTCAGGAGCATGCTGTGTAGTGGTTGAACTTCCAAAGTCACAAAGCTTAATTTGTCCACGCGAGCTGATAAGGAGATTTTCAATCTAGAAACAAGTTTAATTGGACACAACAAGTATGGATTTCTTGAGACATCATACATTCCCTTACAAAACAACATTCTGATCATGGTACAAAAAAAAAGGTTCACAAAAATTCTTGCTGATCAGTGTTGTAAAAAAAGTTATTGATAGGCAGGTAGATCCCACACTGTAAATTAAAAAGATCACTAATAATAAGCCCTCCTCTCCTACTTTTCGTAATACAGATAAGCCCCCTTGCTTGCCATGATAGTATGCCTTCCACCACACATATTCATCATTTTTTTTTGTGGAGATGTGCTATTAAAAACAAATAAAAATGGTCTCCAAAGTAACTTGATAATCCAAATGTTTTGATGTGCTCACCTTCAAATCTCTGTGTATAACTGGTGGAGTCTGCTTGTGCATGTGAGCAACAGCACGGCAAGTTTGATAGAACATCTTTAGTACCTGTTGAGGTGGGTACGGCTGACCAAATCTTTCCTGTATCAGTTTAATCAACTCCCCTCCTGGTGAACAAGTATGTTTTTTTTTGTTAAAAGAATTAGAAAGAAACTTTCATCAATAAGTTTGGTGGACATTGAAATGCATAGTGCTTAATTGATTTTCTTTAAGGGAAAAAATACAACAAACATTTTCTTTTCATATGTGAAAACATTTTTCTCTTTGCATGACAAGTAACACAACCACAAGGCTCAAAAAAAGTGCCTTTGGGTCATCCGGGACGAGTAGATTTTTCTTCTAGGCAAGTAACTTCTCATTCTCAATTGCCCAATGGGCAAGGGGTCGGGCAAGTCGTCTGCCATCTAAAGCATTAAAAAAGCAAACTAAGACTTGCCCAGGACAAGCAAAATTTGAGAGCTACTTGTCCCAAAGGCAAGATGTAATTCAGGGTTTTTTTTTTGAGCTCTTTCACAAATTCTACTCAAAGTGTACTATCAGGGTTGTCATAACATTTTGAAGTACTGTACATGGCATTAGGGAGTTTAAGCAAATCGCTTCGGCTGGCTCTGATACGGCTGCCGGAAGTAAATTTCCCCCAAAATGAGACACTGCNCCACCGAGACGTACTCTCCCCAGACCTTTTCAGTCACAGCAGCCGTAGTAGCACCAGCCGTAGTAGCACCAGCGGTAGTAATTTGCTTAAACTCCCTATTATTGTTGGAGTAGGCAGCTGATTTTGCCAACTTTTTAAAAAGAATCTGATGTCTAGCAAGTAGAGCAGCTAGTGGAGATGATAATGTGGATTGTATTTTTTGTTGGCATCTGGCTTTCTTTGACAACCTTGACACTGTGTAGTACCCTGTGATTTTAACTACAAATTTCTTGTTCTCCTCCATGAGATAATTACAGTAGAACCATTTTCTCTGTTTACAAATTATAACCCTTTTCACGATTAACTTCTCTCATTTAATTACTGGTCTGTGTGTAATCCAAGGGAATGCAATCCAAGTTGGATGTGAGGCAGTTTTTGGCAGAAACTACAAAACTACCCTAAACAATATTGCATACCTGTTGGATTATACTGAAATGCAAACAAGAGAAGTTGACAGAGAAAAGGGCGACCTCTTTTCTAGTAACAAAGACAAAAAAAATCTTACCACTACAGAGCTCGGTTAAGATAAGATATTCAGACATTCCATGGTCAGTTTCCTTCTCACTCAGTGAAGCAGCAGAATAGAACTGTACTATATTAGGATGCCCACGGAGGCGTTTCTTTAGGCTGTTAAGGACAGTAATGCTTGTATCTGTTAATTCTCCCCCAAACTTTACAGCAGTTGGTTGTCTAATGGTTATGTGTTAGAATCCGTTGAAAGTGACTGGTCAGTTTAGCCGTGATGGTATTGGCTGTAAGATGCAAGTAAAGTTTGTCAGCAGTCATTGGTCAGTTCACCAGTCAAGTGCAAACCATACAGGTTTCACTTGGCCAGGTAGACCTAAGTCAGGATAAAGACTAAATTGGACCAAGTGTCCTATACCACTAGAGTTTAATTTTGTTTCTGTGGCATCTAGAAGCTAGGAATATTTCTACTCCACCTGCATGTGTTTGTGGTGTGTTCACCACGTGTCCAACAACAACATTAATTCACCAAGTACCACTCTATACCCTATAAGTATTTCTTATATAGATAAAAGGATACAAGAATTGTAATTTCATTCAGAATGGATTTATTTGCTGCATCATCACCCGCCATAAGTCGCTGAAACAATGAAAAGTTCAAAGAGTAACACATGAGCAAAAAAAGATAATAGAGCTGTTGACATAATGATGGAACTTAAAAAAGCTGTGAAAACACTTGTCTGTTGACTCATGTTCCCACAGCAATTCCCATCCTCCCAAAATTCCACTCATGCTTGCATTAAACAATTAGATTCTGAGCTTGAGATTTCTAATGTGTGATCGCGCAGCCCAAGTCAACTATCACACATAGAAATTGAGAGCGAATCTAATTGTTTCAGTATAAATCTACTAGTTGTTTAAAACCTTTTCTACTTTACAAACACTTCAGAAACACAAATAAGTGGCAGCTAGTTTGCTATCAAGTGCACCATGCTAGACTACTCACTATCTATAACAGAATAGATAGTGAATGGTGCATGTTTTCTTTTTCTTATATAAATAGTCATCTTCGACCTCAGGTGCTAAATACTTTGGCAACAAAATTGAGTGATTTTAATTTAATCATATTGAACAAGGAAGTGATTCAAATTTCACTTACAGAATAAGGAAAGTTTCTACTATGTAGATCATCTATTTTCCTGCATTGTAATGTTTATTTAATTAAAGAAAGCTTAAACTCCAGGTGACTCCCTGGTCTTTTTGTTGATCAATAAAGTGAATATAATTCACAGTTTGCAGAACACGCGCATAGGAAATTTCCATTAAGCCTATGTAATAGCAAAATCTACTGAATCCAAAAAAATGTTTCTGTCACTGGCGTGGGACCAAGATCTAGTTTAAGGTGCTGTTTGGTTGCCTTTGTTTCTTTCGACAACAAAAGCAAAACAAAAAACAGTGAAAAATCTTGAACTTTTACACGTCGGTAGATCACAAGTCTGATCGCTCGCATGATTAATCACATTTACATTATATTACCATACTATTACGTGAAAAACCACCAGAAATCACGACTGTTATTTTCACATTGATAACAAACAGAAAGCAAAGGTAACTTGTAAATAGTACGTGAGATGCGTTAATTTTTACCTTAAGGGCATATTCTTTTCCGGTCGACGTGTCCTGCGCAACAAAAACAAACCCGTACCCTCCTGAAAAAACACAAGTTAAAAATGTTGACATTGAAGGAGTAAATTAAATTTGCAGTTTTAAATCTGGCATTACATTCTCGAAGAAAAGACAAAGAGCGCACTAGAGTCCATCTTACAGATATTAAGACGAGAAGATTACCTTCTGCGATAACGCGTCGAACTCTAAGTTGTACGGGTCCTAACTCGACGTACTGTCCTACAAAATCATTGCCGGATTTCCCTGTTTGGCTGATGTAGTTCAATGCAGAGCGAAATATTTCCGCCATTTTTTTATGTCACTTGAATTCAAGACAACGAATTCCCAGATGATGTACTCTCTTTCTTGGTAGTTTCAAATCCCACCCGCATATTTAACATAAGGGGCTGCGACTTGAGAGCAGAACAATATCAGTGATAGCGAAAGTCGCCATTTTGCATCCCACGAACACGATCGCTAGGCGCATGATCACCAAAGAATATTCTGTGAGTCATCATGCACAGCGGTAATTCAAAATAAAAACATCGACTACGGTATTTAATTACAGCGGATTACTTGTTAAAATCAAGATGGCGGTCAATTCGATTTCATGGAAGATGCCTTCAAGGTTTAGTTTCTATTCTGCAAAATCGAAACGGAAAATCCGTGTTAAGCCGTATTTAATAGAATTTAAAAGGTTACTAGAATCAAGTATTACTGCTGTCGAAGGGGTAAATGGATTTTCTTCAGCGTTATTTCTTTTGAAAACAATCAGAGTTTTCGTTACTAAGGACCTTGACTATTGTTTACCTGTCAATTTTTGCCTGTTGCAGGTGTCAAATCAAGAATTACTTCATGCTGTAGTAGCACTGTACGATAACTGCCTTCCAGAGATCACACCTGAAGTCTTGTATCCAACTGTGTGTGGAAAATGGGCGAAAACTTTACTCTTACTAAGAGATTTCCAAGGTATGGGTATGTGTCCGCAACTACCAGTGCATTTCACAGTACTGATCAAAAATCTTGATTCTCCTTCCTGATTGTCGTACATTTCTTTCAGTGTTTATTATGAGAATTCAAGATGTAATGTACTTCAAGACTTATTCTAAGTAACAATATTTTTTTTTCGATTCTCTTAAATCATTCAAAACTTTAGATGTCTTACGTGAGATGAAAGGTCTCAGCCCAGAAAACGACGAATACCTGGATGAGAAAGACGACAGTTTTATCTCAGTTATCCAGAGTGAGCCACTCAAGGATGAACAATCAACAGAACCTCAATCGGCAACTTTACCAATCAACGAAGAAGAAACTTCAATTGATCATAAACGAACAAGAAAGCTAAACAAACAGGTGTCATGGAGTGATACACGAGATGCAAAAAGTGAAAGTTCAGACTCTGGTGATGAAAGCTCACAAGAAGATGAAAACTCAGAGAAGTTAAATAGTGTTTGTGATAAGTGCTCCTTTGAGATCAAGAGTTGTAATTGTGATAGTGGAGTGGCTCTGAATGATCATTGTACAGTAAAGGAAAAAGACAGTAAAACAGATCAGGTGGAGGGTGAAGTCAAAGAGAAAGAGAAGGATGATGAACCAGGAAAATTTGATGGAGTTTTCAGTGACACAGACGATAGCGAAGCATCTGGTGAAAGGTATAAAGTCCAGAGTGGAAACTCCCATATAGACTACAGAAGGCACCTTAACTTAACATTTTAAATATTCACTTACCAAAGGGTTTGTATGGTGGGCTGGGCTTGCATCATGCTGCAGAAACAGGGATAAGCTCCGGCCTGATGGGCCACTTGGCTCATATGCAGGCTTTACATAGTAACTCATCATCCACTTATGGGGGTTGGTATATTCGAGAGAGTGAAATTAATTAGTTGTGTTAATTTGTCAACAGAGAAACCTTAGTGCTATTCAGAAAATATACATTGTATTTGCGCTAAATTGGATGTAAGCATGATATACTGTAAAATCTCACTCTTCTCTGAGACGACTAAGAGAGGTACACCAAATATAATATAGCTTAAAAGGCAAGGCCCTTGTGAAGTGGTCTTATCTGTACTGTGAGATATTGATACTGCCCAGGAAAAGCAATTCTTTGCCAAAAGGGCACTGTATTTGACTGCAGGTGTTGTGGAAAGAAAAGTCAAATATTTTTATCTGTGATCAAAAGTAAGAGGACAAAACATTTCTGACACCATGCAAGTGAATATACAAAATATCATATATTTGAACTGCGGAAAAAGATATTAAGACATGATTGATCATCACAGTTATACACACAACTTAAGCAGTTGTGAATCCCGTTCAGGTCTGAATTTTTTTCAGGCTGTATTCTCACAACTGTTTATGTTGTGTGTATAACTGTGATGATCAATCATGTCTTCATTTCTGACACTGTTATTTGATTGTTTGATTAGTGAAGATGAAGAAGAGGATTTCTCAAAAGGAGCTGAAGATTTTGTTGAGGCAGTTAAAAAAAGGAGAACACAGAGACAGAGTGATAATGGTAACAACAGACTACTAATAGTGTTTCATTTCTAAAGGCTCTCTGAAATTGATGGGAGAGTTACAAAAAGTTGTTTGATTTAGTTTCAGAATCTTCCCTGGGAATTGAATCTCTGATCATTGGGGCTGCGACATTTGAACGCTCATACAGGTGAGGTCATGATATTCATGGACATCTACATGTAGTTCAACTTTAAACTATTTATATAATTTAGCTACTACAGAGAATTCATACCCATTTTCTGTACTTTTTATTTCAGTATAACACGTCACAGGCCATCAGAGAAGGTTATACAGCTTAACTTATTAGGAGTCAGGAGAAGGTGTCGGAAATCTGGAGTTGGGAAGTTCCTTCTTGAAGTAAGTTATCATAGAAATGGTCATTGTTCATTTTTTTCATCATCACATGGATGCCTCATAGTTAGTACGCTCGCCTCTGGATCGAGTGGTCCAGGTTCAAGCCCTGGCCAGGGACATTGCGTTGTGTTCATTGTGTTGCAGTATTCCATGCTACAGAAACCGGAATAACCTCTGGCTTGATGGGCTACTTGGCTTGTATGAAGACTTAATCTTTACCTATGACTTGTAATAACATGGCATTATGTTATTCAAATGTTGCAGACTCTAAAAGATCCAACTATCATTGGTTCCTATGATACAATAGCCGCATATGCTGATAATGATGCTGTGGATTTCTTCAAGAGAAATGGCTTCACTGATGATGTTGTTCTCTGCAGCAGATTTAGGTAAGAATGAAAAAATGATCAAATACTTCTCTACTCTAATTATTCTTTGACTCTTCATGCAAAAGGACAGTTGATACTTACAAATAAATGGTCATGTTGATTTTTAGTGAACTGACAGATCACTGGATCAATAGTACTTTGATGTGTTACCTCCCTCCATTCACTGGTGAGTTCTAGTTAAGAGAAAAATATATTTATATTATGTTGTCTCACTACACCTTTATTAGTTGGAGATCCACTCTGTCCCCTCAGGAAAAACTTTGAGAGTTCTCCTGTCTGTGATCATTCTTCCAAAGGGAACTGATCTATTCAGACTAATCAGTTGTGAAAACAAGGTCTTGGCTGAAAATGTCCAAAAACGTTTAGTCCTTGGCTATATTTTCTGTTGGAGAATATGGCTACTATAGATGAAAGTGAGGTTGTTTCACCTTGCAAAGGTTCAATTCTTCTTAGACTCTTACTACATCTTGTACTTAACAGTTGCACAAAGAGATTGATGAAGAGGAAAATACAATCAACCAGATAGAGATTTTGTTGTTCCAGTGTTGAAGCTCATGTTTAAAATGTAATTTAATTTTCAGGCTCTGATTTTTCTGGTGCATTCAGGAGTGATGAGGATCTGAAAGCTATGGATGATGATTTAAGAAAATGGTAATGAAATCAAAATCAAAATTAAATTTAACCTTCCCTTAAGTTATGTAACACTTCTCAAAATTAGCTAAATCAACATGTTCTTTTCAAGCATCTCTTTGACTACTGTAAGTTTTATGTCTTGGTGATTATAGATTCTGCTATAACTAACAAACAAGATGCTTTCTTTCATAGGAGAGAGAAAAGCCTTGAGGCATACCAAGCTCAGGCTACTTGTATGGTGAGAATGCAGCATGAAATAAAGACTCTGAAAGCTGTGGTACGTTAAGGTGTTTGAATTAATATTGCGAGATCCATTGCACTGGCACACCTAGGGAAGAGGCTCATGCTCCCTTATACCTGAGATAGCCTGTGAACAGGCTCAAGCTGCAAGGGCTGAAAAAGAACTTGCTGAGAGTGAAGTGGCTGAGGGGGTTGGGGTGGGGATGGGACAGTGGAGCTCTCCCCTCCCCTCTCTTCTATCCTCTTTCTTCCTGCCTCCTCTTTGCTCCATCCTCAACTAGAGAGCCTGTTCACAGGCTATTCCTGAGAAAATGCTTGACAGCCCTGGTTTTTATTTTGTCCCCTCCATTTTTTTTCCACACTCTCAAGAAAGGCTCAGATTCATAAGTGCAAAGATGGACATCTCTCCATCACTCATCCTCATTGGGCCCAAGAGGACTCTTGAGGCTGGGACATCTCTCTATATAAAGTAAAAAATTAACCCTTTTAAACCCTCTAAAGATGCACATGTAAACAAATAAACTTGATTTTTGTAATAATAAATATGCCATAGATATTATAAGATTCCAAAAGGTTGCTATGACACAAACAAAAGTAATCATTGTTCAGAAAACAACAAATTCTTGGTTAAATGTTTAATAACTCAACATAGAGTTTTGGAACAGTTCAGAGGAAAACTTGCTGTGGCACTGTGACAAAGGTATAAATGCGTTTTGTACATTAATTGATTCCTGAAGTTTCACATTGCACTCCAAATTATTTTTGAGAAAAAATGTACACAAAGTTTTATAAAATTTACATCTAAATTGGCTGTTTTTTTTTTTATTTCTAGGTGGACACACAAGAAGAAGCCATTAAGACCCTGACAAGCGCTAAAGAACGAATTGAAAAGGAGAAATATAAATTGGGTAATTTGTAATTTACAACTCCCAAGGCTATCATAAGCATACAACTATGAAAATACATCTTTGTTGATGATTCATCTTCTTACAACTGGAAAATGTGCATTGTAGACCACACAGGTTTGTAAAATTAATGTCAAGAGTTAGCCATATTGTTAAACCAAAACTTTGTATTTTCTGTCCAGAAAAAGAACTACTTGCTTACAAGGTGAGGGTAAAAGATGGTATCTTAACAGATGAAGACTCTGATGGTAAGCGGCATAGTGTTTTAGAAAATATTGAATAGCCATAAAATATTCACTGTTATTATATAGGTTGTGTCAAACAATGTTATATCCTTTACTACCAGCACACAAACTTATATTGTGTTAACATTCAAGTCTTGTCATTCCATCTTTGCTCTCGTTTTATTTTTTCAGAATTTGTTACATTTTCCGTTTCCTTGAAAAAGTTTCTGACTGACTCTTCCTTTTTTCATGTTACAGGTGATGATGACTTATATGAAGCACTTGCTCAAATGCTTAGCAAAAAACACGTCACTGACATCGAGATGGACTTGGACCTGGATGCGATTTCCCATGGAGACTTTCGTGACGTGCCTCAAGGTCATTTGGCATTTCTAAAAAATCCTAATAACGCCTCGTGAGAAGTCCAAAACATACTGTCACTCCATTTTTCCATAGTTGCTGTAACAAGTCTCATTTCAGAGTTACTAAACAACTGCGCGTTTTATGGACTTATTTAAAACAACATATTTAAAGTTGAGACGAAAGCGAGCTAAATTATATTGCTAATTATAACCGCTTTTTTGTTTTCTTAGAGGATGAAGAGTTAGTTTCCTCGTTTATCACAAGTCGCAGTGAGAAACACCTTGTACATCAGATCAAACGTAGCTTAATGGCCACCAAACACTACACTGATATCACAGTTAACAGTGTGAGGAAGGTAAAACAACCTTACGAAATGTAAAATGCACGGAACAAGCTTTAAAGCACGGGAATGCAGCCGCCTGTAATTGCTCGTGTCCAGTTTGGCTTTGCTATGTGTCATAGAGCAGTTTTCATTTGAGTGCCGAAAAGTAACGGGTTTTACATCGACTACGTTACGCCATTGGCTACCTCTATCTTGACCAATAGGAGTCGTGTTTGGCCTGTCAACCATTTGTATCACCACTTTTTCATCCAATCAGAAGTAAAACAAAAACAAATCGTGACTCGCTCGCACACGTTTTCCCGCGCTTTGTGTCAGCTACATGTAATTACTTCAAGATTTGATAGGTTCACTGGATTGTCTGTGATTACTTTGGTTTTGGTTTGACAAAACTCAATTGAAAACCGCTCAAAGCATACATAAAACCATCTACATTAGCTTGCGTTTAAGAGACTATGATCATCGTCTCTTGCTTGCTTAGCAAGTGTTTTTGGTGGATAAGTGAGAGAGAAACGCACCCGTTCTTTTCCCCTTTTCTGCCTTCAACCCTCAAATAATCCTGTTATTCAGGCGAACGCGGATGGTCGGTCAGTCTCTGGAGTACAGAGTTAAGTATATTTCCTTAAATAACACAACCTGTTACTAAGCGACGGGAGAACTCTCTATAAATTGTTTTGACGGAAACTCTCCTCGAACTTACAGGAGTGCTCACTTACAGGTTTAATAATGCCTCTTTTTGTTCCAGTTAGCGCGTTTAGTTGGTGTTTCTTTTGGGTAATACTGAGTATGAGGCGCGCCTAGACAAGAGGCCCTATTAGGGGTTTTAGGGATACTTTATATTTGGTCTTTTTGTCTTTTGATAAGTCTTAGTGACGAATTTGATCTCCTCTGTCATTTCATAGGAGAAGCTTTCATCGTAGCAAGGTATTATGCAAAGTTATTACGAACTGATTTTTTGTTAACGACTTTTCATAGGTCGAGTCCTGCCACGTAGCTTTTATGGAAACTGGTTTTGATTCCAGAACTCAGCGACTTGGCGACCCTGTAATCTGTACTCAGCTGTACTTCTGTGGAGGCGGCAATGATGAACAAATCGAAAAAATCATGAAACGAGGATTTAGCAAAGAAGGTGACAACACTAATATGTAGATTATAAGCTATTTGTGGCAAAGCACACCTCAATTGCTTTAGTTTGTATTGCAATCTACTAGCATTTTTTTCAACTCAAAAAAAATTTCAAATTTCTTTTCAGACTTCACTCGTGGTCCGTATGGCAAAGGTTTATATTTTTCCATGCAAGCCAGTCAAGCGGCGGCATTTTCAGCGGTGAAGTACTTTTTGTCGTGTATTTCTAAATGAAGTTTATTGAAACTGAAAATGAATTTTCCCTCCGCCTAGAAGACTAAAGCCTGGTTTTCATTAGCGACGCAAGCACAAACGCAAGCACAAACGCAAGCACAAGAACAAGCAATAGGGAAGTCCCAAGTGAAAACGAAATTCGACGCAAACACAAGCACAAGCAAAATCATCCGAACTTTCCAAACTGTTTAGGCGCGAGGTAATCTGGATCCAGTGTTTTCATTGGCCGAACTTAACCACGTGTGGTAAATATCCTTGCGCTTGTGTTATACCTGAGCGGTATTTCGTTTTCACTTGTTGCAGCGCAAACGCAAGCATAAGCGCAAGCACAAGAAGAAAGAAAAATTTTGATCCTTGTACTTGTACTTGCGCTTGTGCCTGCGTCAAGGCCGTTTTCACGGTGAAATGAGAATTATTGTTTGCGCTTGTGCTTGTGCTTGCGTCGCCAGGCTTAGTGGAGTTCAGTAGAATTTTGTCATAAGTTTCTTCATTTTTGTCAGTGTTTAAATTAGCACGTGGGTGATATGGACGTCATCAAACATGGCTTGCACTGAACTGTCAAGTCAGTACACCTCTGTAAGCAATATCAATAAGCAGTATCTATGCAGAAAATAATATCAATTGAAACGTTTTTAAATATCTTGTAAGC